AAGTACTTTTGGGTCAGAGCCAAGCCAATGCTTGTAGCAAGAACACAACCTTGTTGGTATATGTCTTGTGTGAATTGCAACAAAGTTACCCATGCAGATTTCGGAGATACTTTTGCCTGCATTTACTGCAAATATCCTTCATCGAGAGCTGTTCCTAGGTAATTTTAATACTATTTATATACACCAACACTATATAGTTTACTTTGTTACTTTTGTATGATTTATTTACATGTTCCAATAATCAATAATAATAAATCTTTTCTCCATCATTATAGGGCAACTATCAATGTTCAGCTAGAAGATTCTACTGGAATATTAAATGCAAGTGCAATTGGAAGCCCAGCTGAAATACTGTTGAAATCTGATGCTGAAAGTCTAATGAATGGCTCGAAATCGGTACACTCTCTATTATTTTTCCTTACCTATTCTTTTAAATATTACTTCTGATAAAAATAAAATGACAACCTCAGGCAACTACTGCAAATGTCGAAGAACCGATGAATTGTGAAGAACATATCTTTTACATAAAGGTTACACAGCTGGAGCCAAATGCCGCTGAATACAAATATGAAATTGTGTTTGTCCTCGATCCATCCTCCACCATTGCTGATACTCCAGAAGGAACGAGTGAAAATCAGACAGAAAGGAATCCTGTATGCCTTGTTGACAACAACAGTTCTGATAATGACAATGCCTCTCCACCAGCAAAACGGTCTCTGTTTCATCCTTCAAGTGAACCAATGATTTCCATCACAAATCCTGTCGCCAAACATCCAGAAAAAGAAAAGCTTGTCTCAACTAATAATCCTTTACCTAAGCATCCAGGGAAAAAAAAGCCAGAATGATTGTTAATGGTTACATGCACACTACAACCTGAAAGCTTCACTCCATGTTCTGCTGTCTCCATCCGAATGATTTCAATCATCTTTTGTTTTTATTTTTGCTAGCATCACAGGCATAAATCCCCTAACTTTTGAACATGTATTTTTGTGTTTTTGTGCTGGCAAAACATCTCAGAAGGAAACTCAATCTACAAAGGATGTAAATATGTTGTATGATGTTTTTAATTCTGAATAACAGGATGGAGTCTAAACAACTTTTGCAATGTAGAAAATAACTTTACTTTCTGAATGTCTGTAGTTTTCGTTTTTATATGCCAATATTACATTTTAGCTTATTTTATACTGCATTCTCACCATATGTTCCTGGTATTCTTTTTGCCTAGATAATGTCAATTCTTCATTAAGCCTCAACTTCATCTTAAACATATACAATCTTCTGCTACAATTAGCAATAATCAAACCATAACCAACCTACTATAAATAATCCCCATCCATAAATATATATCTACGCTATTAAATACCTAATAAAAATTCAACACGTGCATTGCACGTGCCTTAAACTAGTTATCTTAAAAAGGATAAGAAGGGCAACATTTTTCATTGGAATACAAATGCTGTAAAAAAAGAAGGTTGAAAATTTCAGCCTATCTAAAATAATAGGTTGAGGTCCTAAATAGTACATTTCCAATAGGTTGGAGGTCTCGACTGTAATTTTTCAAAAGAATAATCCACTTTTAGCAGAATAGAATCAAAAGACGAGAGAGAGAGAGAGAGGGGGGAGAGAGAGATCTTGAAGTCCACAAATAAATTCGTGGCTGAGAATCACTTTTTCTTGCTGACTTGGCTTTGCCCACCTATATAGTCAACTTTCGCATGTCGTCCCGAACAGAACCCCCAATCCAACCCGCAGGACGCAGAGAACCCATTGAGAAACCAAATACTGAGAGAGTCGTACGTGTCAGATCTCCTAATCCCAAAAAATCTGGGCTTATTTTGTTTTTCTTGTTTTGATCTGTTTAAAGTTGAGTTATGGGTTTCTTGATTGTGGAAATACAAGATGAAGAAATGTTAGAAGTGAATGACCCAAAGATAAAGCTGTTTGGGAAGACCATTCAGCTGCCGGAGATTCCTCTTGTGGCGGCGGATGGAGTAGGTGGAACCGATCGAGTTCAATCTTGCGGTGCTGCTGGTGATGATAGTTCAATACAAGATGGCCCTTGTTCATCGAATTCTATAATTGGAGATATAACTTCGGGTATATATACAGAAGAGGAAGAATCAACAAAGGTATGGTTAAACATAACGGTTTTTTTTTTTAAACCCTTCATTTGAAATGGTATAAGAATTAATCGGTGGATCATACTTTTTGATTGTTTTCAAGAACTTGTTGACTTTCGGATTGTGTCTGGTTTCATGATTAGGGGTTTTTTTTTTTTGTATAATATGGAATTGCACTTATAATTTTGCAACTGGTGTAGTTCATGATGTAGGGGCGGAAGCTATAAAAACAATAAAACAAACATGCTGTCAAAGTTCCGTTGATTTCAAACGAATGTCGCAATGCAATCACCTAATTTATGTTGATTCCTATGAATACCAAAAATCTAGGTATTAAAAACTCTTTGATTCGCACAAGAGTACATAGAATTTGGACTGTTGGTTTTAAATAACAAATTTAAGAAATTAGAGAACTTCTTAACAATTAATATATTATTCCAATTCAAGAACCATCTACTGCCTTTGAGGCTATAACCCTTACTTAAAACAATAAATGAGAACTAGGTCACTGTTTGGTTTAGATAAAAATAAGATTTTTAGTAGACTTTGATAAAAACTGATGAAATATGTGGCTAAAAAGTTGTGGATCCTATGTGATTAAGATTAAGTGTTGACTTTGTATTTCATTTCATTTTTTGGGGGGAACCAAACAGGAGCTAGATAAAGATTCAATCTTCATCATTCTCCTTCAATTTAAGAAAATTCGTCCTTGAATCTTGCAATTGTTCTTCATCCAATTCCTCGTGACAAGGATAATCTATTTGGTAGCTCTATGAAGTGTTCATTAGCTGCTTCACTCAATTTCATTAAAAGTTGCATATCTACTAGAACATGAATAGCAATCCCGTGCTCAATCGACCATATTTCTTCAATGTCAAAATAGAAAAAACATGTGTTCCAAAACCAAGAACATAGTTGTCGCCTCTTTCCCAAAATTACCATGTTTTTTAGTTACATCATTGACCAAAAGCATGGATTCTTGGCATCTAAGCTATCATATTGAATTTTTTTATTTTTTTGTAATTCTTCATAGATTTCGACATGAGACTAGTTACAAGAAACTGAAACATTATTGGATTTGTCATTGTCCAAATAAAAAATTTCTTCAATCTCTTCACCGAAAATAGGAGGCCATCCTTATCGTCGTTACCTAAATCCACAATTCTTCAATTTCTTTGTCGAAGATTGGTGGAATTGTCATAACTAAAATAAAATAATTCTTCCACCTTTGAATTATTGAAATTAGTAAAATGGGTTTTGTCCTAAAACAAAACTTCTGTCATTGGATTTCACGAACACCAACTTGGTTTTACTCGGAATGAATCTCGCTCTAATACCAACTGATGTAGGGGCGTAAGCAATAGAAATGATATACAAACACGTTATCGAAGTTTCGTTGATTCCAAAAGAATATTGCAACATGGTCATCTTCTAGCTTCTGTTCATTCTTAAGAATACCAAAAATCTAGGCATAAAAAACTATTTGATCTGTGCATGAAAATAGAGAATTTGGACTCGTTGATTTGAAATATCAAATAATGAGAATTTAAAAAATTGGAGAAGATCTCAACAATTAATATTACATTTCAATTCAAAAAACACCTACTATCGTTAAGGCTTACAAACCTTATTTAAAGCAATAACTGAAAATTAGATGAAGACAAAAATCTTTTGAGATAATAATGAAGACTCAATCTTCATCAGTTTCAGTTTACTAATTTAATCTAGGAAATATTACATGCTTAAAAAGATGTTCTGTGAATTTCCTATTAATTGTATCTTATATATCTAAGAGTGCTTCAAGTTCTCTCAGTGAGCTTCCTCCACTCCACGCCCCTAAAAAGTAGTTGTCCATTTTTTTATTTTTTTATTTTTTAACACGGTATGTTTGGTAGGTCGTATTGTACAAAACTGGACATGACTAAAGAAGTAAAACCTCATTAATTGTACATTCTAATAGTGTCCAATAGAGTTGTGCTATATCTACAAGTTTTATGCCCATATCTTTTTCAACTAATTTAAGTAATAGGTTTATGCGTGTGCGGTGAATCATAATTTCATACATAAAAATGAAAACTTTGTTTTTAGTTTTAGTTTAAATTTCTGATTATTATACTTGTTCACATCCTATATATGTGGATGCCTCTGTTTGGATACAAATTTATAAATGGTTTATAATTCAGCCAAAGTCAAACATTAATTTTAATTATTCACACATTTTGAGGAACCACTACTATTCCTTTTTATATGTCATGCTGACAGTTCTTTTTACGTCGGATATGTAGTGGTTTGTAACCTTTTTCCTAATGAAGATATCAAACTGCAGAGGCTCGAGTGTTTGGCTTTTAATTTCTTGCTTAGAATTTTCTTGGACAAAAATGCTAGAGAATCCGTAGCTTCCAACCGGTAAAAAGAGGTTTTCTTTGGACCTTAAAATCGGGATTCTCAAGAAGCGATTTCGAATTTGAATCCTTGTCGACCTAATATTGTTTGTAAGTCTGTAATTCTAGCTACATATGGTACATTCATTTGGTTCTAGTATCGCTAATATCTGGCCTGACTATTCTGTGAATTTCACATTGCTTTTTTTTCTCGGTTTTCCTGTTATTAAAGAATGTGAATTTTATTGGGATATTATTTCTTAATTAGTTCAAACCCATAATATGGAAAATTGCATTCCTGGCCTGTTGGATTTGTTTCTTATTTCTTGACACATAATTGGGGTTGGTTGCCTGCAAGATACACTCAAAAAAAGGAGAAGAAAGAACCGATCATCTCACTTTTGATCACAGAGAGACGTAGAACAGAATTGTGTATAGCATATCAACAAATAATTCTTTAATCTTTACAAAAAAATAAAAAAAAAAGACGCCAGTTTCCTTTTTGATAAATTTTACATAGCAAATGGAGATTTTGTTCCTAAATCATGGGGCCTATTTCACTGATGGTCATAAATCCTACTCGTAGCATGTTATCAATTTGCAAAGATAATATAAGGATTCAGTTATAGTTGTCTGGCATTCATGTATCTTTCGAGTTCTGTTCATGTGTTATGATCACAATACAAATTGTTTTCAAATCATTGGTAAATTGTAAAATCGAGTCCTTGATTTTTCTTTTCTCATGGAGAATCTACATGCATGCAGGCTTTGTCAGGTCAAAAACAGGAGAATAGTGATGTGAAGGATGGTACACAACCTTTGACGTCAGATGAATTAAAAGATTCTAATGTAACTCCTCCGGCAAATGATAATTCAACTGCACCGTCTACTGATAACGATGCTGCAAGAATGAAAACCTCCAAAACAGGAAACGACCCAAGTGAGACGAGTACCTCTCAAGAGAAGACACTAAAGAAGCCAGACAAGATACTTCCATGCCCTCGCTGTAATAGTATGGACACGAAGTTCTGTTACTTCAACAATTACAATGTTAATCAGCCTAGGCACTTCTGTAGGAAATGTCAAAGATACTGGACAGCTGGTGGGACCATGAGGAACATGCTGGTGGGTGCAGGTCGCCGTAAGAACAAGAACGCGGCTGCTCATTACCATCATCTAATGGCCTCGGAAGCACTTCAGAATGCACAAGCAAATCTACCAAATGGAATTCACCAGCCGACTCTGAATCCCAACGGCAATGTCCTCGCTTTTAGTTCGGATGCACCGGTATGTGAGTCGATTGCTTCTGTTTTGAGCGTTGCTGATAAAACAATTCAAAACTGCTCACGTAGCAGGTTTCAAGAGCCAAAAGAAAAGGGAATTTCAACATCTCATGAAAATAAGGATAACGGGGATGATCACTCGAGTGGATCTTCAGTCTCTGTCGCAAATTCAAACAACGAGTTTGGTAAAACTGGGTTGCCCGACTCACAAATGCAGAACTTTCATAGCTTTACCCCTCAGGTGCCTTGCTTTTCCGGAGCCCTGTTTCCTTACCCGTGGAATTCAATTCAATGGGGCGCTCAAGTATCCCCCTCTTCTTTGGGACCTACTAGTTTTCCTGTGCCATTCTATCCAACAGCACCCTTCTGGGGTTGCCCTGTGCCCAGCCCATGGAATGTTTCTTGGGCGGTCCCACCAACTGCTTCACATAATCACACACCACAGGGCTCTGGTCCTGATTCCCCAACTTTGGGGAAGCATTCACGGGACGACAACATGGTGAAGCCAGCCAGCAATGACAAACAAAAGACGAAAAATGAGAGTAATTGTGAGAAGTGCTTGTGGGTTCCCAAAACACTGCGAATTGATGACCCGGAAGAAGCTGCAATGAGTTCCATATGGGCGACATTGGGTATAAAAAATGAAAGAGTTGATTCCTTCGGTGGACGGGGCCTCTTCAAGGCCTTCCAAAGGGTATCAAAAGATGATGAGAAGAAGACTCATGTTTCCGAAAGCTCTACAATATTACAAGCCAATCCAGCGGCATTGTTCAGGTCATTAAACTTTCATGAGAGCTCGTGAGCATATAAGTTTGGTAAATCTTGAACTTCGGTGCCAAGATGGAAAGGATTCAAAGGATAATATCTTTCGCCCACAGGTATGCTTTGTCTGGTCCGCTGTTTGCTCTGCGTACATTTCTGCAATTTCTTATTGAGATAGGGGGTTAAATTACCAGGCCACCAATTTCAACTTCTTCTGGGTGGATAATCAAGTAGGTGCCTTTTATTTTAAAGAGAGGATTTGGTGAGTTTTTAGTTCATGTACATGTATATGAAATAGTTAAAAGCTTGAAACTAGCGAGTTTTGTGTACAAAATTCCACATGCTGTAAAATAAGTTGGGAATACTATGAGTTGTTTTCTTTTTGGACATGCCATTTACTTTGTGTTCTTATCAGGAAAGGAATTTTTCTCTAGTGATTTTTATGGTTGTATCTCTTTCCTTTATGCTCAAAGAGTTAAGGTGCTCGAGTATCTTGAGGCCCATGGCTCGTTTTATAAATCGAGGAAAAATTAGTTAGAAATCTTGCGAGTTGTAATATTTTCTCGACTTCTAATTGTGCCTATGCTTATACACATACATGTGTAAATGTGCGCACGCATGTACATTGCACATGCACATGTTATAGTCCTGAGCTTCACAAGAAATGTCACTTTAATACATTGATTGCAAATCAATGAATGCATCTGGCTTTTGGATGGCCATTGTAAGTTTGAGTTGTTTGTGCAAAGAAGCAACTCTAGAAGGAGCTTTTGACCTTTGTCATTGGAGATCACTCAAAATCAGTTTAGTTTTCTTACAGTGGCTCTCTCCTCCTATTATTTTTGCTGTTCTGATGAAGGATAAATTAAGAGTTGGGCATTTAGTATTTTACTACTTGATTTGCATAGAACTTGAAACACTCAGGTTTGTAAGATTGATATGATCACAATCGAGAGAGAGAGAGAGAGAGCACGTTAAAGTTAAATATAATAATAAACTGACTCTAAATTTATAGATGACAACGCTTCGTTTGTCAAAATGTCTTCTAAAAATTAGGGATGGAAGTGGTTTTATTTGGTTTTGGATCCAAGAGAACTGAATCGAATTACGAACCAATGATTTTTTTTATAATGGAATCAATGTTTTTTTTTTAAAGATAGAACCGAACCAAACTGAATTGAACCATTCAGTTTTGATCTCTTTTGGTTTAGTTTTCATTACTTAAACTTTCAAATGATAAATACAAATTAAAATCTATTACTATATCCATAAGTTAGTAATATATATTTAAATAAAAAAATATCAAACATTTAGCTAATGCAATGGCAGACGTGGTATATGGCTTGATCGATTTGTTTGATAGGTGATGAGGTAAAGTTAGGGATGGCAACGGTTTGGTTCGGCTAAAACCTTAACCGCACCATCAAATTTTTGGCCATATCATAACCGCACCATAACCACGAAAGTCGGTTCGGTTCGGTTCGGCTCGGTTAATATCTCGGTTCGGTTCGGTTAATAACCACGAAAATAAATTATTTTTTATAAATCCAAACTCCAACCGTCAAATTGAAAAAAAAAATGAAGAAAAGTCAATAAAAATAAAAAAACATGTCAAGACATCTGAAAAA